AAATATCCAAAAAGAAGAATCTGCTTACAGTTTTGTTTCATATGGGTGTTGAGAGATGTATCCATAGATCTCTTCAGGTTGCTCTCAAAGTGCACCAGATTGATGCTTTTAACTTCAATATTTAAAAAAAAAATCTTCCTGGGGGAGCATGCCCCCGGACCCCACTAGAGGAGGAAAAGTCCCCCCCACTTAAATCATGTTCACATGGATAGGATACTTAATACATTTGCACACATCTTGGGTCCATATCTTTCTGTTTTGGTGGTCATGCCACAACCGTGCACGTGAATGCATGCATGCGTCAAACATGAGTCATGGTAAATATCTGGATTAAGAGGTAGCTTTTTCTTTGCACAGCATGAAAGAAAGGCCAAATTAATGGGCTGTGATTTTAGTTTTTTTTAAGCAGTTCAATAATTTGTACGGCCCTCGGAGGATGTTGTAAAAATTGAAAGGAAAAAGGTTCCCCACCCCTGCTGTAAATAATAAGAAAACCCCTTGATTTATAACTTAACATCTCTGTCGTCTATTGATCTGAGTATATTATAAAGAATAGCCAGTTAATTGAAGCATTATAGCGCAGGCCTTTGTCAGATGGTAGCCTATATTACGCAGTTTTTTTTCTGCTTCGAATAGTTCTCTCTTTTTTCACCATACGTGTGTTTGCATCCCTGATTTATAGTTACAATTTTAATGTGATGATGAAGGCTTTGATGTCCTGAGTCATTTTTAGTTTAGTTTTTCTTGAAAGTGCTTGGATTTCAAAGTTAAAAGATGTTGAAACCCTGAAGTGTGAATAAATTGGACACAGTGGTTTATGCTAAATGAAACCAAAGGATATAGAAAGGGTTTATCGTTGAATGTATGTGTGGAAATAAACAGTGATAGTAAATCCTTTCTGCCTAAGAAGATAAGCCTCTATATGTGACAGATTTGTTTTCGTCTTTGTCCTTGTGCATCCAGATGGTGAGGTGAGCGTGGACTCTCTGTCACCTGCTCACACTCTGAGCTCCGCCCCCTCCCCTGGCTCTGTGGAGGCCCTGTCCCCATACTTCCTACAAGTAAGTCACTGTCTTCAACACTGTGACCTCCTCGTTTTTTTTGGGTATTCGACTTGTATTTCCAATGCAAATAAGTACCATTGTTATCGGCTGTGGGTATTTAAATACGCTCCCCTCTCGGTGCGCAGTTGGGACAAGTAAAAGCTCCATCCAGATGGTGTCCAAACATTAACAGCTGCTCTTCACTTTTGGATACACACTTTAGACACTTATTAACAAAAGCTTTAAACACCTTGTCAAGTTAATAATTTGCCGCCCGCCTGAGCGCTGCCCCGCCCCTTCGTTAAATATGAGGTGCTGACAACTTTAGCTACATTAGCATAATTTAGCAGGCAGATGTTTTCACAGTGTGTCAAAACAAGGACAGGGGTTACATCTTTGTCTAGCCCCAACACTGTGTGCACCAATACTCTGTTACTATATCATCCTGACTGAATCCAAGGACACATGTGTTGTCTGGAGTCTTTGAATACTGACAAGGACACTAGAGTCATATTTCATCTGATGTGACAGCAATCGTTCTGTATTTTGTCAGACGGTGCTCTCTACTTTCTTGGGAAGGTTGTTGATGAGTAATGACAGGCTAACATCAGGACCCAAAAGCTACTATGACTTGTTTATTAGAAGCCTGTTGGATGACAATATTAGGCCCTTGTGCAAAAACTGACACAGCTTACAAATGTGCATTTTTGAGCAGCAGAAGTCATAATAATTCAACTTTGTAAAGTGGTTGATCAGGTTATCAGAATTGTATCGACATTTCAATATGGACAAGTGCAATATCCAAATTTAAGGAGGTGACATTTTGCCATTCTGAACAAAGTATTTTGGTGCTGCAAAGATTTACTAACCTAAAATGTTATTCGACACCTTAAACAACACCTTTGTGTATGGTACAGATCCTCGCAACAATAATACCATGATCATTTGTATATTATTTAAAATCCAAATTAGATTAATGTTGCAAATATTACAATTTCCCACAAAAAACAGAAATCCTTATGTAATTATGTATGTCTTAAGTGGTTGCCATTAGACATTGATTTGAAATGATTCAGTGCTACTGTCAAAGGGGTTAACATGACGTTTCAACCATGCATTTGTTTACTTCTGATGTCTAGAAAAAAGAGGTCCAATATCTAATAGACAGCAATCTTCTCTGTTTCCCCTCCAGGACGAGGCTCTATCTCCACAATCTCAGCTCTCTCCTGTTTCCTTCTGCTCAGAGTCCAGCAGCTATTCCGTAAACTCTCCTCCAGCTAAGAAAGCTCCGAAGAGGAACAGCCAGACGGCGCGAGGTGAGGCAGCTCCACCACCAAACATCTGCTCGCTCAGCAGCTGTCAAATATGTTTCTACGCTTTGTTTAAAATCCAGTGGGGATTTTTGATCTCTGGACTTTTACCATTCTGGGATGTAATTAACCAAACGAACAAAGAAGAACTCGTCTCTCTCAGTGAAAACATACTGGCAAATGTTGGAAAAGAACTAGCTCCTAAAAATACACATTTCTTCACCTGAGCTTAGAACCAGCCTTTCCTTGTATTCAGAGATGGCATAAGTACACATCCTTTACTCAAGTAGAAGTATAGATACTCGTGTTTAAAAATACTCTGGTAAAAGTAGAACTACTGACTAAACTTCTTTACTCAAGTAAAAGTAAAGAAGTATCGGCTTCGAAATGTACTTAAGTAAAAAGTACCCATAACTAGCAGCTGTTTTAAAGAGTACCTGACCTCCCTTTATATTAATAGAACAATAATGTCATTGTTAGCTAATGAATGTTTCCATGCTGACCAACGGCAACATGACAACGTTTTCATTGGTCCCTCTTCTTTAGAGAAGACCAGGAAATGATGGATACACGGATCGTGTTCAAATCAATAGGCACGCAATGACTCTAAATAATAATGATCAGGCCACCAAACACACATTCAAACTAAAGGAACCAGCCTGTTTGGAAAATGAGAGAAGTAGAAAGTACAGGTATTTGTGTTCAAAATGTAAGAAGTCAAAGTAAAAAGTCGTCAGAAAAATAAGTAGTGGAGTAAAGTACTGATACCAGAACAAAATGTACTTAAGTACAGTAACAAAGTATTTGTACTCCACTACTTCCCACTTCTTCTTGTATTAACCTGAATACTGTTTCCTCTTCTCACTCCACCCAACCCCCCATCCACATAACAGCCAGACAAGCTCAGCCAATCAAGAGGCCGATTCAGATTGGCCCAAAGGTTTCCATCCAGCCGAAGCCCCTGATTACAGCTGTGCCCCTCGCTCATGCTGCCCCCCTGCAGACAAAGACAATCATCATCCAGCCCCTGCAAACCACTGTACTGCCTGTCATCAAACAAGCTCCGATCTGCATCCAACCAGCGCCCCCTCCAGGTCAGAGCTCTCACTGCAACACACAGAGACACGTTGCATCACTTCACACTGTATTGCATCAGATCACTGCACTGGAATTGTGATCAAGCAATGTGTTGTTCTCTAATTAGAGTCATTTAAATTGAAAGACAGCCTATTACAAGTACTGTTTGTTTGTGTCTGAGTTTCGTTGTCATTCTCGCTTAGACAATCATTTAAATTGTAGTGTGTTGGCCAGCAGATGGTGCTTTAACCTTAGTTTATTCTCATCAGTGAGCTTCAGTCATCACTGTTCCATGCTGCAATCATTAAAGGTTCAATTATAACAAGTAAATCAAACTTTTTTTAAACAAAATATGTCTACATTTGGGCTACGGTTGAGAAATAATACAATGCTGGGAATCAGCCTTTATAGATAAACAAGCGAGAAAGTTTGTTTTATAACCCACATTTAAACCAAACACTATTCATGAGCTATTATGGAAATGTGTTCATGAAAGGAAAAAAAAACAATTATTTTGTTTTTGTGGTTTAGTCTCCCCGGTTAACCAATCTGGTTACATCAGCAGCACTTAGGCAAACGTAAATACTTATGTCACTGCCTGGGACCCAGGAGGGTGGAGCATCTGACCTCCCTCCACTTGAGTTTGAACTTGGCTCAACTGTCATCCTGGTAAGGGCCAAGATGGCAGATAGCTTAAGCCAAGTTATCCAAGTTTAGGACCCCGGCTGGAAGTCAAGCCTGCTCAGTGTTACGAGTCTCCATGATTTAAGATCTCTGAAATATTCACAGCTGAGGAGTGAGCTCTGGGCTTTATACTGGCAGATGGAGGAAAGACATTGGAGGCATTTACTGATGAGCTACATTTGATTGAGTTTGACCGGTATTTATAAAAAACAGACAGGTGTTCCTGAGGTATTACATTTCTTTTAATTTCATTCTCATAAATGTTTCTTACAGATGTTGAGCTTGTTTGTCGGCACCACACTTTCATCAGCAAGTCTGGCTAACGATTAGTAATGACGGGTTGTTTAGTGTTAGAGGTTGCTGGGTCCGTTTGAGGAATGGTTCCTGGCTCAATCTCACTGGGAGGGGTGGGTTACACTCTGGTAGGCTCCTGCATTAACAGCACATTTATAAACATGGAGAATATCATGTTTTTGAAGGTGCTGCTTTTTTTCTTTTACACCATAATCCATTTTGAATGTGTGTCAGCACACAGGTTTATGCGTGTTCCTACACATAAACCTCGCACACCTCTCAGTTTGGAATGTGGAAGTTCAAGACCATAGGTCACGATGGTAAACATCTTTTCCACCTGTACTTTAAACACAGAGATTCCCGTTAAAGACGAGGGGTTAATGTAGGTCACCAGTTGTGAGGGGAGTTTAAGGAGCTGGACTGTACCATCTGCTGCAGGAGGGTCTTTCTCACTGATGTTGCTTCCAGATTGCATAGCATATCAGGTTGAATGTGTTTGTAGAAGATGGAAAAACAAATGTGGGATAAGAACCTAAACATGAAAACAAACTGACACACACAAACACAGTCAGAGTTGTTCAGTGGTTACTCACACAGTCAAAATAAGATTATAGTATGGCTAAGACCTGTCATTTAAAAATGTGTATGTGTTGCGTTCTCTTTGTCAGGACGTCCCATAGTGCTGTCTCAGCCAACCCAGGTGCTTCAGATCCAGACAGCAGGGGCCATCACCGCCAATGTGGTCGCCATGCCAACGCTCACCCAGGACCGGCCCTTCCCCCTCGCTGCTCCTCCGTCGGTCTCACTCACGCTTCGCTCCCCTTCCTCAGATGATGATGTGAGTCCAAACTCTTTATCTCTTTACTCTTCCTACTTGTTGAGCTGCACTGAGGTATTACCACAGGGGGGTGTACATGAGAGAGGTTTTAGTGCATGTAAATGGTCTGCAAAGGCTAACATTCAAAGTTCCCTCCAGAGGGAGTTTCTCTCACACACTCCCCCCCCCCTGCCTGAAACACCTCCATTGGAATCCTTTGTTTACTTGTGTTACATAATGACATCATTCTGCAACACTTGCGATTCTATTGGCTAGAGCTCCAACACGTTGTTTGTGATAGGCTAAGGGGCGGGACATTTCTAAGCAGTTGACAAATTGACAACAGAGCCGGCCAGCTAACCAATCAGAGCAGACTGGGCTCTGGTTCCAGACAGTTCCATACATCTCTCTTTATATGTCCACTAGCCACGTGACATAAACCTTTTTATTTGATCAGATCTTGAGATGTTTACAGGCCACTCAGATTAGCTTCATAGATTACATCCACAATCATAGGGCGGTACTCCATGTTTCCCTTTGGTTGCACAAATGGGATGTTGTTTACAAAGAAAGCCAATCAGTAGATATATGAAGTAGTGTCACGTTCCCAGAGCCTATAGATTGAAATGGAGATCTGATTGCTCAAACACAGCATTCTTGACATCCTTGATATATTGTATTTTATATTTTGTAGGTCACCAGATTTAGTTGCTTACCAGATCTTTTGAAGGTCAAACTCCTTCATAAGACGACATAGTACATTCAAGTGTCTCCATGTGTCTGCTTTGACATGCGGGGACTTGCCTGCAGTCGCTTTAGTTGCTCCATGGGCGTGCGTGCACTTGCCCTTTGTAACTATGATTTTGTGGTTACCATGTTCACACTTGGACTGGAACCTGCCTGACATCCAATCACTCATCTTTCCCCATTTTTTTTTTATTTCACAGACCATTACTTTTAAATTCTGCGTGAAACTATAAAAATAAAGTCCTTTTTATTATTTGAGATGGTGACGATTTTTCCATACTGAAGGAAAATATATGAAACTTCATGGGCTGTGTCAGTCTGGGAAGATACACATGAGGCCAAAATATACATCATTACATTGAAGTATTTGGCCATGTTGTCAACACGCAAACTGATTTTCACTTTAAAAAGAGGCCGCTGCTTGGTAGTTGAATATAAAAAATGTCATCTTAAATTAATTTGCTTGTCATGATTAGTACAGTATCAACAGTCTCAGCCTCACAAAGCCTTAAACCACCCACAGATGCACGTCATGTATTTGTTGTGCAGACTGTGTGAATGGTGTCATAGAAGGACACTGTTGCATGTGTTGCAATCAGGGGTGATGTCAGGACGGACATGCACACAGCTACCTGATCTCCAGTTATCTCTTTCCTTGTGCACTAATTTCTCTTGGGTCTAATAAAAACTCAATTAAAGAAGTTTTGTTGTTCTTAGAAACTCGAGATCTCTCCTAAAAGCTTTTGTGCGTGCTTGTCTTGTTTTCAGTGGGAGAGTCCTGTTAAGACCTTAGGCTGGATTATTGCCCTGTGTTTCTGATTATCTGATTCTGTGTTGCTTTCTGCTTGTCTGAATCGCCAGGCTCCGTCACAAAGTCAGAGCCATGCCGTGACTCTCAGAAACCCTCTGTGTTGTTTCAGGCTTTGGTCTCCTGCACAACAGTTGATGACTTGCTCATGTCTGACCTTTAGTGAGTTGAGAAACATGTTCTCACTCCGTCTTCTCCTGTGTTTGTCTTGTGCTTTTTTAGAGTGTGAGAAAAACGTCCACTTTCACTGCATTTACCACTCCTTGGCTAGCTGCAACCTAATGTGGAAGGGAAGTTGAGAAATGCATAGAGGGGAGCAGGAAGTGAAGTTGTTTGCAGCGGACTTATTACACTCATTTCATTTTAGGTTCATACTTACGTTTTGGGTTTCTATTAGATAAAAAAAAAAGTTTCTCTCCCCCTGAAATGTTTTGTTTTCCTGTATGTCTCTTGAACACTCAACGGTAATTTTTTAGGAGGTTGGTCGGGATACTCAGATGGGACAGGTTAATTTCTAATTGGCCTGCAAGCAACTTAGGAAGAGGAGCCAGACCTCAATGACTTTTTGAACAGCCAACAAAAACTAATTGGGTTGTCATATTTCCCACTTTTTAGATTGGTATGCACACCAGATACCCAAATATGTGTTCTAAAGCGCTGATGAAGTGTCCCCTTTAATTAGGAATACCATATGTGTCACATTCGTGGAATCTCTACTAAATCTTGTGCGGTGATTGCTGTGGTGACACTGGGACGATTACAGAAAATGGATCCAATCATCATCTTAAAGGAGTCATCACTCTGTGGCCCCGATGCATTTCCAATCCTTAACCTAATGTTTCACTCTTATATTTTACCATGTCTGCTCAATATATCTTGGCATTAACAATGTTTTCCATCAGGCTTTTTAAATAATTAACCTCAGCTGAAATGACCAAGTTCTTGTTTGATAAATGGTTAAACTTGACTTCTTGCTGTAAGCCCTTAATCGCCCGAGAGGAAATTATCTCTTGGATAATCTAGTTTGGAAAACACTTTTCATGCCAGACCTGACGAACAATTTCGAGGAATTCCCAACTTTTAGAAGCCAAAGCAAATATGCCTCTCGGCCATTTGTGAAGCGTTACCAAGTCAGTAAAGTTTACAATAGGTGATTAAAGGGGAGGGACCGCACACATTAATTATAAAGAAAAAATAATAGTTGATTTTTAAAGCCAAGACCTCGAATCATTTCTCAAGTGAGAGTGATGAAATCGTTTAAACATGGTTGGGTGAATGTGGGAAAAAACATTGATATTGCAGAATCATATAATCTATGTAATGATTAAGGAAAGATGATGTAAGTTTAGCTAAAGGGCAGCCAGTTAGCCAGAAGTGAGAAAAATAATGGCAACTAGAACGGCTTCAGAAAGCAAATCACCGGCCTCCCACCAAGGCCGGTTACATTAATAATTTGTGTATCCGCCCTGCAATTCTTATCAGCTCCAACATTTTAATTTGTTTTCCTTGGCCAATGCTTCCTCCTCTCAAGTTTTATGAAAATCAGGATGTTTTTTTCTAAATCTGCTGCCAAACAAACAAACAAACCAAAGTGAAATCTCCCTTGCAGAGGTGATAATAAAAGTAAACGGTCAAATATAGTGTTGCATAGCTCAAGAAGCAATTAGTCAAACATTCTGTGGCTCAATAACATTACTAACACCGCAGTATCTGTCTAAAGTGGTAGTTTCTTCCCCAGAGCAATAATTGCACTGAACTCCAGCATGCACTGACACAATTGATATATTTATTTATACACATTCAAACATATTTATTGTACTTAAACTGATATATTCCTGCACTTTTAACTTTATCTGAATATTGAAGTATGAATGCTTGTTTGTATGTTGTCTCCTGCTGAGTGTTGTACGTCTCTTGTTGGTTTTTGTATTTATGATGGCACCTTAAAAAAAGGAGTAGCTCTACTCATCTCATTGTATACCTGTATAATGACAATACAGGATTCTATTCTAATCTAACATTAGCCACCACAAGCTAATGGTCATATATGAATCCAGGTTTTCATTTGTGAACAAAAGTGTTTTGTTTAACTGTCCATGGTGGTACTTTGTTTCTGTGGCCTTGAGCTCCTGAGCTGTGTCTCGCTGTGTAAAAGTGTGTGTGCTAGGATCCACCGCAGCTGTGTTCACTTTATAACCTCACTGTGGTTTGGCTGCAGCGCAGCGGTGGGCCGGGGGATGTGTAAAATGCCTGTTAAAGATGGCATGCTACTGCCAGGTGTTAGTGCATGTTGTATGTGCAGTCTGTCTGTGTGTGTCACTGTTCACGTAGTTTACAGTACTCTGTTTTGGGCTAACGTTGGACCCTATAAGCCGGGGAGTTAAACGGCTGCTAACGATTACATGCTGCAGACAGGTGTTGTGCAGGACGAAGCATCTGCGACAGCTGTAAACAGCCATCAGGGATTGGGTCTCTGTTATGTAATGAGCTCCTATACTGCCAGGGATTTAGCTGTGCATGAGTGTGTGTGTGTTTTTCTGTGTGTGCGTGTGTGTTCAAGACTGGAAAACAGTCCAGCCTGGCATTGCAAGCCTAAACAAATCCTCCCACTTGTAGGTTAGGAGGATTTAAGGATGGGACCCCAGCAAAGCGTGGTGTGATGCTAGATCCTACAAAGAGTCACCCTTCCTCCAATAAGGACATTTTATTATTTATTAATTCATTTAGATATTTCTGTAAATGTGACAAGTAACCCACGAGGCAAATATCCTCTGTAGTCATTAGACAGATGTTGTGTCAACCTTAAAAATAAGTATTATTTGTGTATATCTAGGTTTTAGGTCAGTGCATGTAAATGGTATGCAAAAAACATTACTTCAAGCATAGCATAACATTTCCTGTTAAAAAAATAAAAGCGTAATGAAATCATTAAAAACATGCAACATAGAGGCATATAATACGAGAAATGCTAGTAAAAAAGACAAAACAAAACGAAATAACATTAATATCACATAGCAAGAAGGTAGCTACAGGTTAAAGCAGTACAGAAAGACAGCAGTGCAATCGATCACTTAGTGTTGACAGAGCTGAGTTGAGCTTGATTAAACCATTACACATTTGTCTCATCATTCAAAACTCATAAAGAGGGAAATCTATCATAGATGTTTGGGGCGTAACAGCTAGGCGCTTTATGAAATGCTCCCAGTGATTTCAACAATTTACCACATGATGGGTTAAATGCTTCAGCTCCCTGGACTTCGAGCTCATGTTTTTTATTTCTCCACATCTGGTTGTTTTTGTCCTAATGTGTAAAACCTGCCTCTGTGTAATTTGATGCAGCAGTGAAACTACTGTAATCAAACAACATGCTATTCCTCATACATGACACGTAAATAAAATCCTACTTGAAATGTTGTTAGGTGGACCTCCATTGTGTTTATGTGACTGATAGTAAACTGATTTGTAT